GTATGTCGGGTCATAAAATTTTCTTTCCACATATAAAATGCCGGTGTCGAAAGCAAGTAGGCTCCAACCTATGATTTAGTTGACATACACCCCCTATTGAAAGCCTTCGTTGATGGCTGCTGACTCGAAAGTCAGCTAAGAGACGGTACTTGCGCGCCACGTAACTGGTTCGAATCCGCCCTAGCGCATATATGTATCGACATTAAAACAAGTGATGTACAAATTTCGCTGATGTAATAAGCTTCTGTGATGTAGAACCTTCGTGACCTATCGTCGCCACATCACGGTCAGTTTACCGATATGGGGCTTTACCCAGTTTTTTTTCTCATATAGGACACAGAAAACGGATTTGTTTGAAGGGTGACGTCATGGCTGTGCTGGTGTCAATTCAAAAACAGAAAGCTAGAAAATGTTGTTTCTGAAGCTTTAATATTTAAACTTGTTTGAACATTTCAAAAGACTTCGGCAGATATCATATAAAAAATGATTCACATTTAGGCGACTTTTCGTCAATTTCAATGCTAGCAGCTTGAGGCATCTGAGCCCAGATAGACGACACAGCTTGTCCAATGGCCTACTGCACAATCGATATCTATATTTCTAGAAAATCGTCTCCAGACATTCGTAACAAGTGCTGCATGTCAAAGGTATGTCATGAGACGGTGGTGAGAACAAAGGCTATGTTTATAGAAAACCAGAACAATTCTCCTTTTTAACTCACTGATCTTGTCGTCCTGGAATGAAAGGACTACCCTGACAAGCTCGCTGATGCGGTCACTCGCAACCGTCAGGAAGACATATGGGTGGTTATGTCAGTTAGTCAGTGCTGTGGGTGATTGTCAAAGCTTCATCGTTCCTCTTGTAACCTTCCACGGGGATTTGTTCTTTGTTCATATCAACTGGAGAATGACCGAATGCCACTCCTTCGACCGAATCTGACGTCCCTTTTGATTCGTAATCCGAACGTCGAAACTGAGTTTTAACCATTTTTCTCAGATTCCTCATAACTTCTTTATGTTGAACCATACCTACACACAATGCGAACGCCGTGCGACTACAGTTCAAACCTTATGTATTTATTAAATTTTATGGGTAGCCGGAGACAGTGACAAGCGCCCTGCGTGTAACATGTATTAGGGGCCCGGGCGATATTTTTCTGAGCCTTTTCTACAAACTTGTGAGGATGACCTGCAGTAACCCTTTAGCTTACCCGCTGATCGAAATCTAGGTAGAAGCAAACAAGCAAAGGAAAAATGATTACCATGTAACGTTTAAGATTAAGAAACTAAATCCGACTGGAAATAGTGAAATGTTGTGCTTGTAGGAAATGCCTGTGTCTGTGAACAATAAACGAAATAAATTCTTGAAACGGATATCATGGTGACATAATGCACTTCTTTAGAACTCATTTGTGAACTTCACAAAGGACGGAGACACTGAAATCTCTCATGTCTATAAGTCCCTGCGTCCTTTCAAACAAACACAATGTTGAAACAATGTTACATGCACACGTAACGATAAGCCTGACCTGAAACAAATCATCACAATAAAGATTGGCATTGTGAAACGTACCTGGGTCTTTAGTCCTTATAGGATATTATATCTGAGGCGTTGATTCGCTGGATTTTTATATTTGGACTATACGGTATTCGCCTTTAGTTCATGCGTGCGTCGTTTCTAGTCCTTCGTGTCACCACTGGTTCCTTCCATACAAATTTAGCATAACCATAATCTTTTTAACATCTGTTTTCTGATATGATAATAGTACAGTGCTTCTGTAGAACCGTCGAGGTATCGGCATTAAACTTGCCTGAGCGTTACAACGGTCGCTAACTGCAGTCGTCTGCAAGAACTTCACTGTAACTTCGACTTGTGCGCTTGCCGAATACGGTAGATGACTCTGTCGCTTGCGCGCTTTCGCTACACGGATATACGAGCGTTACCCGTTTTTCCTTTGTTCGAGCGTCCCAAATTGTCCCAGGTTATAGTACAGCGTATGCGCACAGGCGCTCACAGCCTGAGCTGAATAACACCTCACCTCACCAGAGCGTAATTGTACCCTAGCAGATAAAACGACGAATTGCCTATGACATATTCAACTTTATAAATAAGATGAATTAATTGATTGATAAAGCCGACCCATATTATATTTAGTACGATGGCCTGCGATCGCTTTTTAATTGTGGTCTCAGTAGGCTGATTTCGACACTACGGTATACGGAACCATCGAAATCAGTTAAATATGGCTAGGTTTCAAGAGTCGCTTCTTGACCCGCTAAATAAAAATCTATTCAAGCAACCGACTTGTAAATAGGTTATTCTAGAAGGTCAAATCTTCATATGGTGGGGTTGTCAGATGTTTTTTAGTGAAACTTCTAGCAGCTCTATATATAATCATGTTCAAAGTTTTCCCATCTTAGAAAACGTGTTGTCGATAATCATCGTAAACGATAGAGCCGTTAATTAATCATAGCGGTAACAAACTGCTCTTTGAGAAAAAAAAAAAAAACATTTTTCTGAGGATAACGCTACGGTTAGGTGTTGTAGTTTAGATGATCCCTGATATGACAGTTTTGAGACTATTCAAAAGTGATGGTTCTTGGGGCCCAAACCGGATAAGAAACTTACCCTCCAGAAGCTGTTATTCAATGAAAGCCGTTTTAAAATCCTTTTTTGTCAAACATTGATCACCATAATAGAAGTAGTTGTCGCAGCTATGTCGGTGCACAAGCTTACGGCACACCGCAGCTGGACTTAGCTGAAAACTTTTGGCGCGCTATGAGTGTCGGCGCGTTATATAGTAGCGTCATGCGTGTCTACGGGACGATATTACTCAAGAATTAGAAAGTTAGTAATATTTACTGGTAATTGAGTGACAGTTTTGTATATAAGAGTCAACAGTTGGTTGGCAGTTATGCATAACCTTCGTTGTTAGCCAACGTATATATTTGTAGTTAATTTCTTTTATACATAATTTTAATTTTAAATCAAACCTGTCGAGTGTAAGCGTCGGATTTAACTTGAAAAGCATACTATATACTTGAAAAGGCATCCAGTTTGACGTGAAAGATCCACGTCGTTCGTAAGCACACGTAGAAAACACGTAGAAAGCAAGCGACGCAATCAAGACCTACTTTCACTTCTTAACTAAGCGCAAATTGTATCTTGTAAAGTATAAAACTAACAACAACAACAACAGAAGTTATCGTAGCTTTAACATACGCTGTGGTATTAACGAAAGACTTAGACAACAGGATATATTAACTAAGGCAGGATTTTTGAAGCTTTGGATTCAAAGGCATGCCTGCTGTGTGCTTCCGCCTTCAGGTAAAGCCAAAATACCGACTTACAGATACCATTCTGTATTATCTTACAACAAGTAGAAATAACGTAACTTGAATATAATCGCTTACGGGACGACATTACTCAAGAATATCGGTTGGTAATAGTTGCTGGCAATAGTGTAGGGACTTGATATAGTAAAACGAACATTGTTCAACCCTGCTGTTGGCAGGACGGCAGAGTATTTCCGTCCGCTATATAAAGCGCTTTCCTTTCTGAGGTCTGGAGAGCTTCCTGTCTCGGTTCTATGGACGTACAGAGCTAGTTAGAAAGGATATACAGGACTTTATTGAGCAGTCGAGAGGGCTCCCGACAGGCAGTCCAGCTGCACAGCTCTAGCTCTAAAAGTCGTCAGGTGGATGTGCCTTAGCAGGAAGTTTGGTGCCCTTCCAGGCGCTCAGAAGCGTGTATAAACCTAACTGTGTGTGTGTTTTGGATGCGGGCCTATATTTGTGAACCAGCCACTTTAGTAGCCCATTATAGAGGGTGATTATTACTTATTTTATTACTAGTTCCTTAGGTTTTGTTGAGTGGAGAATCTGGAAGTGACGTTCGTTCCCTTGGCCGAAGGAACAAAATAGGAAAAAGACTATTCCCTTTGGCCATCCGTTTACATTGACCCTTTACGAGTTGTTCTCCATTTGCCAGAGGATCTTTCATTGAAAAACGAATGCCGACGTTGTTTGCAATGTTTCGACGAGAAGGCAACGAAAAAGAAGTGTGAAAACCGCGAAAGATACGAGGGCCATTCAAAGCCATAGGAAACAACATTAAAGCGAGTCGTTTGTGATAATACACTCGTTTCTGGTGATCGTCGAGGCTTAACTGTTCTGACTGTTGTTGACTAACGACAAGTAAATTTCTTTACCTTGCTGTTTCTCTCGCAGCGGCTCTGCCTGTGGCGACAGACGCTGCGGGGAGGTTACGGTTATTTAACGGCGTTAGAAGTCACATTCAGACGCGGGCACAAGCTCAAACACACACCCATAAAGACACGACAGAGAGTATAATTATGACTGCAAAGGGCGGGACAGCGGCCAGAAGCCCGTTTCGAAATACGACAGACACGGTTGGCTGGAGTACCTCTATCGGTTAGTTTTGCCTCTGTATCGTCGGAGCTTTTTTCGTCTGTCTTGTTATGTATTGCTAAATTGGCGCTGAACGATGACAGAACTCGTCTGCAATGATATACCTACTGCTCGAATATAGACGCATGTATTTAGAGAAATTAATTTATACTACGCGCAGGCAGAGCACTGCGGTGTAAGACGGCTATCATCTCCTATGTTGCATTATACATCATTCCCACTTATAACGGAGCTAAATAATAAAGCTCATATTACCCTTAGTCCGTGTCATACATTCACATAACATGTCTAGCCTATCTCCTTTATAGGGTGTAAGTGACTGACTCAAATAACAGCGTAGATTCGGAACTTGTTTACACAACAGATAAGTTCCGTACAACGATACGATTGTGAAACACATTTTTCAAAAGTTACCAGGGCACTGGGAGTGGGCTTTTTCAAGATACGCCAGTCACAAGGGTGCAACAGAACGGTCTAAATGGTAGTATATTTACTGAATTGCTAATTTGATTAAAGCTGTTAGCTTTTTCTGTTCCATCCCTCCATAGTAACGATGTGCCCTAATTTCAGACACAAATGATATAATGTCCGACGAGGAAAGTGCACCGGATGATGAACCGTCAAGCCCCACTAATGAAGATTGCAAGAAATCTCCTTCAGCAGGATCAGGTAGCAGATACTTCGGCGGTGTCATTTACTTCTCCGCATTAAATATTTAAGACAAGCACATTAAAAGAGGATACCGGATTATTGACCAATCTGTCTGTCGCAAGAACAGATCGTTATCTCTCTTGCTCCACCATGACTCAGCTTATATAAAACCATATTCTTACTTAATTTACTCTTTGCTTGGTAAATATAGGTTGTGGAAACCTGTTGTGTTGAAACTTCCCATTTCTACTTGTCTTACTTAAGCATGTCTTTTATTTTTAATTTTATTTAAGGGTTATTATTCTAGGTGGGTTGTCAGATACAGCAAGTATGTTCTAAGCATACATTGTAGCAAGAACTTCAAACGGCGACTTTAATATTGTTCAAACCCAGGTTCGCCCAGATGCTGGTATTTGCGTTAACTAAATTGTTAAAAATCCAGTTAGGTAAAGTACTTAATTAATTAAGCTCGATAAAGTTTAATAATTTAATTTTGGGTTTGATTTTGGGCTCAGGTGGAAATAGTGGGGGAAGCAAAAAGAAATCAACAAGCTCCGATAAACCAGCAGTTGGCTCCGGGCAAACATCGTCTTCTGGGTCCGGTGGCGGAAGCTCATCGAACGGAAGTTCTGGGTCTGGCGGAGGGGGAAAGCCCCGACGTGCGCGTACTGCATTTACTTACGAGCAGCTTGTGGCACTTGAGAATAAATTTAAGACAACCAGGTTAGTGTTGTTTAAACTAATAATGGATTGTTAGCACAGCAAGAACAGTTCCCATTTCGTCTGCTAAAAGTTACTTTGACATTTGAGAGTGACACCTTTACGTGAAGAACATAAACTACATTAGTCATCAGTTAGTGAAAAGCCGTATAAAGTTTGTTTATGAGGCGTATGTGTTCTATAACCACTTGTTGTTCGTTGGCTTCACGTTCAAGCTTCATATGTGCGAGTTAATGAGAAAGTGATATGCTGTCGTTGATCAAACAAGTTTCGAACGATCCTAGTTGTAAATCGTGTTTACTTTACAGGTACCTGTCCGTTTGTGAACGACTGAATCTTGCATTGTCGCTTCGATTAACTGAAACGCAAGTAAAAATCTGGTTTCAAAATCGTCGCACTAAATGGAAGAAGCAAAACCCCGGAATGGATGCCAACTCGCCAACCACAGCGCCCCCACCTCCATCATCGCTGGTCTCGTCAAGCACGGCAGGCGTCGCTGGACTGACGAACGCCGCCCTGGCCACCGGTGGCCTACCAGGGGGCCTTTCACCTTCGCCCCTTGGGCCACAGGGCGGCCTTCCGCTCTCACCAAGTGGAACACAATTGGCTGCAGCCGCTCTTCTTTACGGGTCCCAGTTGCCCTACTTATCAGCCGGCGGTATTGGAAGTATGGGTGGCGCTAATTGCGCGAGTCCATCGTCATCGGTTTACTTTGGCGCCCCCACTAGCGGTGCAGCAGGCTCTGGAAGTGTTGTCTCAACTACCACAGCCTTTTCACCAACCTATTTTCTTCCGCCAGCGCCGTCTTCGTCGCCTTCCACAACGGCCACTACTTGAACAGCAAGTACAATCCGGACGACGACGATGACATCGATTCTGAGCACCAGTGGACGAATGATCGGTCGCTAGCTGAGTAACAAAATGAACGGACGCAAAACAGAGAGCGCACCTGTATCTATGTGTCTGTATGTGTGAGAGAAATGGCCGTTTATTGTGAGAGGAGGTAGCAGCAGCAGCAGTGCCTGCCGTTGGGATGTGAGGTCAAAAGGACAAAATATTGTTACTGCCCTGCGAGCTAATGGCTATCTCTGATTGACTTCATCAATGAATAAACAATTGAATGGCAGCCATGATGAGAACAACGATGCTCTTAAAGTAAGTTCGGTCTCGTTTGTTATCACGGTGTAGTGCATTGACGCGTCGAGGAGGAACTTCTTAAATAGGACGATTCACGCAAAAGCCAAAAATCAAATCGTTTATTTTGTTAATCTTCCGTAATCCATGAGTAAACAATTCGTGACGAAGTCGGCTCTTAAAGCCAACTAGGCTTAATCTGGAATAATGTCATACAAGACAAAGTTGTAACTATCAATGAACTAGTCGAGCACATACCCAAGGAAAACGAGCTTATACAACAACAACAACAAACTAAAAACACTTTTTTAACGGGGAAATAAGCCTGCGGGAGTGTCAATATTCATATATCAATTAATCTATCGTAGATTCGAGCCCGTGCAAGTAATAATGTACATACTGTTTGTTAATTGTCGAAACGGAGCATGCTAAAATAGCACTAACAAACGCGGGGAGATAAACGATGCATGTGCAAGGGACCCTTGTAGCTTTAACACAAAGTTCTTGTGAATCCATTATAATAACTGCATAGTAAAACAAAATAAGTATAAAAGTCCTGAACTTCCTCTGTATCATGAAACCGAAACGTTAAGCTAATCATATGAGGTCTATGATCTGATCGTTGACCTTCTGTACTCTCTACGACGGTTGCGAGTTATTCATTTCATTAGAACAAAATAGAACAATATTGTTATTCGAAAGCTGGCAGAATCCCAAAAAACAACTCGGAATGTCTACCATGGACAGTTCTCCATAATCATAAGCATCTGCGTGTTATCAGACAACAGCAACAGGAGCATTGTGACAAGAAACGCTGCAATACATTATCGATGAGAACTCAGTCCCAGGTCAGAAAAATTAGCCTAGGGCATGAGGACTACTAGTTAGTACAGAGACCGAATCCGTTCTGTCCGGGAAATGATAGACCTTGTTCACTGTGTGTGTGTATCGAAGTAACAACCTCAGCCCTAAGAATCCAGTAGATATATAATTCACAGTCCTTCAACCAGAGAATGCGCTTGTACAAATGAGGGTAGGCTACCTATGAGGAAGCGAAGTGTCGAGTCCTGCGTATTACAAGTTCACCTCTTGCTCTCCTCAGTTCTTCTCTATATACACGTATTAGATAATTTTATTTGTATACTATGCTCATGGGTGCAGGTTCCACTGCACGTGTCATGTGTAGGATTTTTGTAAGCATCATATACGGATTTTTGAAAATGTATATTTACTGAAATTTATCATCGATACTAGGATCCTCGGTATTCTTGATTATATCTGCCTTCTTGTATATAATATATGGACATTGTAGTATTGTTTTAACGCGATTTAGCATGGATAAATGCAACAAACATTTTCTGCAGTGTTGAATTGATGCAACGCGTTGGAGATTAACTAAAGTAAAGTCGATCTGGGCGGGTAGGCGGTCGGTCGAGAGGCTGAGATACATTACTGAAGAAGTCAGCGTAATGTGTATATAAATATAAATACGAGACAGGAAGAATACGGATAAGGAATCACAAGCAGTGGACAAAAGAGGGTCTAAAAAGCCTCGATCTTCTGTCCAATGATCAGTATCTATATAATACATTATATAAAAACACGTTCTTGTATGTCTTAGAATGCGAACGCCATCGAATGTCTCATAAAACAAATAAATTATACGAAACTATAGTAAAGGTACGAGGATGTGTGCTATCTCCCTGATGTTGCAAAATGACACATAATTACTAATCCAATGAAGACGGTGACAATAATAATAATAAACTATTTAAATACCATATAAATGAATCGTGTTTTCACTGCTGAACTGTTTTGGTGCTATAAAATGCCTTTCTTCATAGAGCTTTAAGCCTTACAACAAGATTCTTCACCACATACACTCCACGATATTGAAACATGGATCGCGCTTATTTCCATGAATTCGCTTAAAGTTCTCGTATATAAACAAGCAGACACATGTGGACTGGGTTAGACCCGACAAAACAGCGTTAAATTTGATTAATGTATAACACTGTGCTGACAATGGTCATTTGACAGAAGATAGCTAACTGTCTGGGTGATATGTGGACGAATCTCGCACATATCCATGTTTTCGGTGGCGAGCCACGTCTCGAACGGGCACCACCCCCCGAATTAGCTTCACAAGTAATAGATTGCCAGTTCAGATCAGAGGATTTAATTCAGAGGTTATTGATTGCTAAACAGGGACAGACAGGAAGGGAAGATCAAAGAATTTTTCACCAGCGTCGCTTCCACTCGTTACTCAGCCCCATTGGCATTTCTGCCTGGTCTGTCGACCGTCCGTTCACCCGCCAATTCTGCCTGCGACGACTCGTTTTACTGAGCGAGCCAGGCCCAAACCTTTTTCGATTGAGCTGTTCGACTCCTCTTGATTTTTATAATGGAATTTATATTTATTGAACCCTTATCTAATTTTTAAGCCGATTTCCCTTCCCTGACCTGCCTCCCATACAGCGGCTGCTATCTCTTGCCACTATTAGTGCTACTACTGTTTACCTTTAAAGCAAACGCTTCGAGGACTTTTCATTTGGCCTTTCCGAAGGGCACAAGCTTTTGCTGGGGCTAAAGGGTTATGCGTCGGGTAGCTTTGAACTGCACTTCCCAACATTGCCTTTGATATTATGTGTTAGTTTTAAATTGGTGATATGCCTGGAGTGTGACGTCTTTTCGCGTTCCACTGTCTACTAGAGCATCCAGCAGGCGGAGGGGATCATTGATTGAGAAACAAGATCATGCTCTACGCGCAGACGCGTCACTCATGCGAGTCACGTTTGAGAGCAACTTAGATATTCGGGCAAAGTGTCTCTCGCTACTGAAATTATCATGGTAAGTTAAGTACGTAGCTAGGTATGCATTTGTTTTTGACATCCGTTCGAATTAGCGCGCCATACGTCGAAGGCCCCAATCCAGCTCCGCGTTTTCCAAACGTAGTGGGAAAGAGAGGAATTTTTCAGCGCTGCGGTGCTATCGACATTTGAAACTTGGCTTCTGGTGAATTTTCTCGAAGCTTCATTATTTGAAAACGGTTCCCCTGCACTCAACAGTCATCAGCCTTCTGTGAGCTAAGAGTACTTCAATAACATGGCGTCTAAAATTCAAACTTCAACATCGAAATACAACGTCCAAGAGAAGTCTTTGTTTCATACTGACTATGATACATGCACAGCTTATTCACCTAGATGGGAAGCGAGTTTTTGCGATTGTTTGTTATGCATTCACAGCTGCATGTTTCTATTTTCCTTTGCCGGCATCAGTAGCGTGACACAAGAATCCTGATACTTCTAGAAATGCCTGAGACCAATTAACATGGCTGAGAGATGAACGGTGGCTGAGTTAATAGCGCCGTCGTACGCTTAGAGTATAGCAGTTACCCTTAGCACTAATTCGTGCGTTTTTGTTTTCCCACTATACAGCGTTGTAGGAACAGTAGTTCGTTCAGCGTTACCATGACTTTCTCATCTCGTTACCTTCGTTCGGGTTACGTAAATATCAACAAAAATCTTCCATCTACAACAAACCACCGTGGCTTCGACGGCGTACGTATACTGGGAGTATAAGCCTATAGACGTGTGAAATATTCGTTGCACTCCTGTTTTCTCCACGTTTATTATATAGTCTCACATTCAGAGATAGAGGCAATGCCATTTGGAAGATCAACGGTTGGAATTTTCATTTGCCCTTTCTCCTGGCTTCAGGTACCAGCCGTATTCTTTACCTTTTTCCTTTATCCGTCTTCCAGTCCTGTCCCCTCCGCTGTTTCTTTTCGTTGTCTTTAGTTACCGTAACAACAACGGCCGACTCATCCCCCGGCCCATCGTCTTTCGTTAGCGCCATCCAATTCCACGCACCTCGCCCTGCTTCTACCGGCTAGGGGATGGCGGCAACGACTGCTGCGGCGAGAATAGCAGAGAGCAGTAAGATTTGCAAATTCGCTTTTCCATGGTCATGTGATCCGGGTCCTTCCAACGCGTTCTCATCCCTCTGTCAAGGGTTCGCCATAGGAACGGGGAGTCGGACAAGGGCTTCACTTGACTTTTCCGGAAGCTCGAAGGGTAGCTGAGAGGTGCGGCCGCGGCAGCGGCGACACAGTAGCAGTAGCAGCGGGGGCTTATATTGAGAGAGAGCAAATAGCAGGCACGCCGAGTGCGCCGCTACCGACGGACAGCCGGACAAAGACGGCTACGAGTTTAGTATAGCTAGTATAAAGCAGGGCGATGTGTGCGTGTGTCTGTGTATTGCCCCTCGATGATATGGATGAGGGCAAAGCTTCCAACTGCTGTGGTCGGCGGCAGTGGCGGCCTGTGACTGGGGCTAGCATTCGGTTGCTGCTGCTGTTGCTGCTGCTGGTGCTGCTGCTGCCGTGGGGGCGGTAGCGTTTCGCTGCTTATATCTACTACTAGTGCTGCTGCTGCTGCTGCTGCTGCTGTTGCCAGTAGCACTGTTATTGCCGCTAGTTCCGCGACTGTTAGCGCTGCTGCCGGCCGCGACAGCGTCGAGGGTGCGGGGCCTCTTCTCTCTCCCTTCTCTCCTAATTGGTCGTTTCACGGCTGGCTGCCCGCTGATTGGTCGGCACGAACGCGTGACGTCACGCCGGGTGTCTCATCCCGAGCGAGCCTTAGACCATAGGCCTAGAACGCCCTGCAGACAACACTTCTCAACATCGCACTAGCAGACTACTACTTTTGCAGATCAGTGCGTGTTTGTGTGAGTGTCGGTTTGGCTGTATCTCTCCTGGAAGTGCAGAATGTCTATGAGAACGCCAACACTCATTCGGACACATCAGGGAAAGTGGCGAATGGGGTTACGCTGGATCAGGCTGAAGAACCATTATTACTGCTACAGCTATTACGGCCCGGACTGTTAGAATAGCAAACAACAGAGACGCGAAGAATATCTCATAGACTGCACTGATAAATAGAGAACTAATTGCATGTGGGATTCTAGCGTGAGGCCTCCTGTATGGAAGCAAATCAATGACCGAATAAACCGTTTTTTTTTTTGCTTTATTGTACACGTTAATCTTATCATCATCACGATCGTCATTATCATAATAAAGACGAAACTTTCATCTGAAGAGCGCCCATCCGCGTATTAACTTTTCAGGCTGTCTTTTTTCCATTAGGGAAGTGGCGCGTAATTTAAATATGGCTGTAAATGAATTAGGGTAGTCAAAAGCGAATCCCTCAACCGCATCACGGAAAAATACTGAAAGCTTGCAGCTGTACATACGTGCGCTAGTGCTTAGTGTCTTTTTTGGTTGACCATTTTGGCTTAATAGAGATACGCACGTTCGGAGATCTAAAGGCATCTAGAACTGGTTGTAGGGGCATAGGTTTCATTATCAGCTTGTATTGGTTATATATTGAAAAATTTAAGGACGCTTCAATCACCCCCCTGAGCACGATACGTTGGTACTTTGAGTTCACGAAGAGTCTGTGGCGCAGGTTTGTACTACGAATGGTACCGGATAGGCTAATAAGCTTTGAATAAATCTCGACTTACGCCTATAGTTACAAAAAAAAAAAAACGAGTTTTTTTTTTCCCTGAATACATGTGAAGTGCGGTAATGTTCGTCCACCCATCGCGAGACGCACAATTCCCTATTTTATAAGAAAATGCGATTACATCGTGTTGAGATACTGTTGTCTAGAGTTTGATGTATGCATTAAGAGCTTTGGATAGCTTTGGATTAGAGGTAGAAGTCATTTAAGAATTCGGACCTGCTCCTTTCCTCTATTCACCCGTGGTTAATCACCGGATATTCATCTGGCAAGTGGACAAGAAACCTAACAAAGCTAACAGAACCTAACCTAAAGGCATGAGCACACTTCGGCCACTTACTACCTCGAAAAAATGCGCGAAGACGGACCCAGAATGGAAGCTGGTGGTAAAGTGTATAATATCAACTCAAATGGACACCATCAATGAATCGGCTGAGCACTGCAATTATTATCGGCTTAAAAATTGGCGGGCAGTAACACATAAATGAAGTACACACGCTGCATTTCGTAAAAAAAAATGCGTATCTTGACGCCCGGATGTATCTCGGTCGTCGCACTCTGGGATACAGAGCTATTTGCTATTAACCTTTACAGGTGTAAGGAACAAAAAAGCAAGCTAGATCATTTCTATCACAGCTACTACGTACTCACTGGCCTTACTGGCCTAAACGGTGACGTCAAACGACTAAACAAGTTAAGGACCTCTGTTAGTGTTGTTGAAGTTTAGCTAAGTCAAGTTTATTTTCTCTACACAAAAAAATTGTCGTTACTTTTTTTTTGTGATTTTTCAATTGGGTAAGTCATCATTCATTGATTTAGAATCTAGAATCATTATCGCTATAGAACCAGAAATAATCGCATACAAATATTAGTTTATTATTCTGATTTAGATTAAGATACAGTAGGACCTTGGTTATCGTACGTTTTTCATAAATAATACAGCCTGTGGTGGCCAGATAATATATTTTGGTAGGTTTATTTAATAACCACAGTTAGTAGAAAACAAGCAGCAGCCTCCGAATAATGTGGAGGAGCTTGTCACCCTGATCGCGCTTCTTCTTTTGAACTGAAAGGAAATACGAAGTTGATGATTGAACAGTTGAAAACGACAAGCCGATGAGTATACGTTTAATAATAATAGCGGGCACTACTAACAACATTACTTCAGAATAAATATTTCTCTCGTTGCTGGATCCTAGCTAATAAAAGCTAACAGCAACATATGCCGTCGCAGTTTACTGTCTAGCATTCGAACAATTACTGATTTGGATATAACCCTGATCAAGATCACCCACTCCTGTGAAACGTCTTATTCTAGGCCGCAAAGAATAACCCAACTCCTACTAAAACAGCCGTGTCCTTAGCTATTGGCCTTTAGTATATCATACTACATGAATTCGTATGGTCTTTTTAAAATACACAACAGCACCTCTATACTGCTGAGTTTTGGCGTCTACTGCGATAGCGCTGTTTGCTTTCATTTTGGAACGTATTTCTGCCAGCAACCCTTTTGCTATCCTGAACTGCGATCCCTTCAGTCGTGAAGGCCAAGTAGAGGGCTGCTGGACACCTCTTTTACTGTACCCATTACATGACACAGGTTTACTAATGATTAAATTATGACCGTAATTTATGCTAGACTAAGTCATTCGTTTACAGGAAACTCTCATACCGGTCTATCCGGCACGAAAAGCAAGCAAGACCGGTCTAGCACACCTGATTTTCCTAGCGTTCAGGAACACCTGACGCATATCAGGCGCATCGGGGATCAAGTATTGTCTCTACTAGGCTTTTGACAGTGCAGAAGGCATACTATTCATTTACTACAACGTCTGGTTACGACTTTACCAGCGTAGGCAAGATGTAGCGGATAAAACTCACACTGACTCCCTGTTCTTATCCTTATATTCTCCGATGAGCTTGTACAAAGTGATGAAGACGTTGACCACATCCAGATGTAATGTAATAACCGCCCCTATGTAATCTTCAGGGTAAAGGAGAAACTGTCGGCCCCCTAACAACAACTGAATGTCGACGGCTATATACAAACTGAATATCAGTGCAGCTGCCCCGCCAATGAGACGGTCCTGGACTCGGAGGCTGGGCATGAAGGAAAACAGAAGCAGTTCAGCTCCCAGAAGCGCCAGAAGTGCAACGATTAGGTGCAGCCCAAAACGGGTCAAATCTAACTGCGACGACATAGCTAGTATAGCCACTGTTCCGGTCCCTAAACAAGTGATAGATACAGCGATAAGGACACTCGGTGTCTTGTACGCGCTGACGATATAGGCAAGAAGCAGAGCTTGAGTCATCGTCAGTGTTGTCAATAGGGCATAATTGACCGGAAACGACTGGCGCAGCTGCATCGAGCAGGCCAGCGTGATGGCGACGGCCACAAGGGCCACCATCGCAATGGCCGATATCCACCAATTATCCACGAGAAAATCTTGTGTGTTTGAACTCACGGTGGCTACAGTCACGACTGTTGTTGTCATCAAAAGCATACATGTCAGTAAAGACAACACCTTAATCACGAAACTGTTTCTTATTGTATGTTCACTAAATCCTTCTCCCTCTAACGCCGTGTATGAATGACTTGACGCTTCAGCCATAAGGAAGTCTCGTTTCGTGGGCGTCCTCTGTAACCGGTTTAGCTTCGTTATCTTACAATCATATTGAGAATAGGCTCAGAGTATGGCTCCATAATCGTAGAACGAATAGGACGAAAAACAGCAGTAGAGCATTTGCGTACGAAGCTCTAAACGCTATGGAGAATGCCCAAAAAAAAAGTCTTGAATCAATTGCAGCAGAAATATTTGATGTCGGACTTGTGTTTCGTTGATGGGCCCATCGCTCTGAGTTGTTGGTTCGTATGCGTACCACACCTGATATGTCTTGCATATTGAAACTATATAATTTAATGTTCGACTTAACTGTACCGACTAACCGTACTCACATTGCTGAATAATTACATACAAACCAATGATGAGTATCTAAACTAGCTCGAATTAAACAGAAGCCAGCCGTATAGGTATGCTTTAGATAATGATAGGTTTTTTCACACGGCGACATGTCAGAGGCCGACGCCTGATGCTAGTTGTTCTGAATCTATTCTCTCTTTAGCGGAACAACACTATCCGTTCCTCCCTACCTATGACTCCCGATACATTCATTCACTCATTCACTTATGCATTGTTTCTTTAGATGTAAGGAAACAGAAATCCCTAACATATCTTTACTGGTCCACTAAGGCCCAATTGTTGGCCAGACGCTTCTTATGCATGTACAACCTATAATGTCGCATTGTCTATGAACAAGCTATCAATCAAAACTTAACGGAGATTTTTCTCTCAGGGTAGTTAACTCAAGCAAAATATTCCGATAGCAATGCTTCAACGCAACAATGATTATATAGGTTTAAGAGATGACAGTCGAGTCGGCTTGAGTGGCTGTAATCACTATTGGCCTTACGACAAATCCTATTCACGGTAGTAATCACAATTCAGACCAGTCCGTATAGATAAATTTCACAATAATCATTGCCTAAGTATTGTCATTGGCACGTGGGCATTTCATGCACCCCACGAGATCGTTTACCTATGAGGTCGCCAGTGTCGTCGCATCTACTGCATGTATCCTACTCTGCACTCTATAACGATGCAGTTATCGGCAAAGACACACTCAGGTCTAAGCGTTTTCAACAGCGATAGGGGACCGTATCGGTCGGTGGTGCACTACAGAATGGGGGCTATATCTCTGTGCTAGGGTGAATGTTCCAACAAGTGTTTTCGTGAGGATACTCTTCCCCTAAAACATGTTAGCGTCCTTTTTATTCTTCGTGGTTACATCAAACGCCGGCTCTTTATTCCGTCGAAAGCTGAATCATATGCGTTTCAATGCGGCAATAACCCTAAATTCGACGAGAGTAGCTGTGGTAAACGAAGACGTTGGGTCTAGCCAGTGTGCACACTGGTTGGCCTGATTCTTGGAGTGTTTATCTTCTGAGCGCGTCTCATTGGCCGCGTGTGCCGATTGGAGACGTAGTTTATCTGTGGCGAGCTGACTGCGTGGTTGCATGGGCGGTCAGGCAGGCAGAGGGACGGACAATGTTCGAAAAATAGCGGTACTTGTTAAAGACTTGTTCTTTCTACAGCTGCTGTAATTGGTAGCAAACCAGCCCCCCACTATCTGCAGCGGCAGTCAGACTCCTAAAACTGTTCCGCCTTTCTCTTCCGCAGTGCGATTATCTTCTAGGCCATGTCTATTTTCTCTTGTGCTATCCTGAATCCTGTCCTTTAGGTCTACCGTCCATTTCCATGTGCTCTTGCTCGTGCACCCCACTGCTCAATCGGCGTTCAAGTCGTATAAATTGTATCAAAATAGTTGCCGAAAGAGCAGCAAGACAAGCTGATACCGCAGGGATTGGATTGCATCGATTTTCAAAGTAACACACCAGTAGGACAAACAGCGACGGAAGCCTATCCTATTTATCATAATATTATTATAAGTGTCCGTAGGCTAACATTAAAAAAATTGCAAAGTTGGAGATAACTTGCATGCACAGACAAGGGTCGGTTGTTATTATTTTGTTTTTATTACCTATTTCAGCCGTTTTATTGTTGTTTCTAATCGCTGATGCAAGTGAATCCGGCGGACCTTGAAATTAGATCAATTTTGAACTAGAATGATGATATCTCATTATGTTATAGGTGCTTTTTTATTTTTTTACATATGGTTCAACGCTTTGGCGGTCTTTGGATAGTGATATACATAGCATTCGTGTTTTCCTATATTATTTTTTGATGCGAATTGACACTGCTGCCCCCTTTAGAGCGTGCAAATCACCGTAATCACACGGGCTTAGATGGATACAATGAGCGGCTTGAAGCCAACCCTGGATATTCTTCTGTTCAATCCAGGAAGTAACTGAGGTACGGTGATAAGATCTAGCGTCCGTGCCAACGCTCTATGGGTATTTTAAGGAGCTTGAAATCGCGAGCTATATATTTATTGGTAAGTTTTGTCATCAGAAGAGACGGTCCTGACACTCGCGGGCACTACCACAATTTTATGTCCGAATTTACTTGAGACTACTACCGAATTCGATTTCTCTCCAGGGCGACGCCATTCTCCCGCCTAATCCCCCTCTGGCTGGTGATAGCTATTGAACCACGGCGCGGGTTTTGAATTGTTTAAAATTCCGCAAATTACACGTGGAATTGCACCACATGCATTTCCAACTAGCCTGGAGTCAATTCACGGGAGACCCATCTTTTATCCAGTTTCCGCATTTTCTGTAACACGTTCGATGTGAAATATCAGTTTTGGTCCACAGAGCTTTTAGACTTCAAAGTCTAGTTTTGGGAAATGTGTCTGGGTTACGGCGATGCGTTCCTGTCTTGCGAGTTGCGATATGTGACCGCCCTCTCGTTGGTCTTCAGCACTTCAATGACCATTTTTGAGATGTTTGCGTGATTTAGTACTATATTTTCGCTTTAGGTCTCCTGGCATAATGTCTAGACCAATTTTCACTGAGCTACCGTAGCGGTGCGGCCTTCGAGAAACACAAAACTTGGCCACTGAGCGCTGATGTCCGAAACTAAACGAAATATATACTTTTTTAGATATACTTAATTGATTTTCACTGTGGAACTATTTAATTAACAGGTTTACCGGATTCGCTTATGACAGCTGAGCACCTAAATCATTTGATCAACATTCATTTCTAGGGACCACTGATGTTCCTAATCTTCTACAACATTTCGCTAGTCGGTTTGGCACGCAATACTTACTACAAAGGCTACGAGGCCAAAAATATGATTGTTGACCTTACGAGAGAACGTACTGCGACTGTAGATAGGGTCCTTGCTTTTCTATTGGCACCTTAGCGGGAAGCTGCGAAACAATACGCGCCCAGAATAACCTCGACGGAATACTACTTAAAATCGAATAGGATACTGATTTCCAGCTTAACTGGCATTTTGTGTTCGATTTTGTGAACGGTAGAAACAAATGGACCATATGATGTTATATGGGAGTAATAATAATTGGTACGTTTTATAGGTGATACGCAATCAAATCACGATTGCTACTTCTTAAAATTGTTATAAGGCCGTCGCGTGATAAACTACCGTCTGACCCAACCCAGCCCGCTTAAACTAATCCTATGCCCGAGCAGCTTTTCTGTGAAAGTGATCTTTGTCTAGACAAACAGCTACAGTCTCATCGCCATTTTGCGTTCCCATCTCTGAAACTGAGCTAAGAACAGAAATACCACACACGACTCAGAATTGAATTAATATATTCTAAAAATATGTTCGGCAGACTTGAAACATTGAAGAAATTGTCTATTTTATGCCGGTTATTTCCTCGTCTTATAGAACTACATCTGAATAGCGACAAGTCACCTAACGACTTTTGACAGAAGACAGAAGGCGCTAGTTCGTCTGAAACGCAACACGGCATCTTCAGCGTTGGCTGGTCTAGAAAGCCGATTGCCACAATGTCTCGAGGGTAATCGCTACCAAAGATTGGATGATTTTTCGAAGAATATACTTACGATCTCAAAAGCTCAAGATCTCAAAGCTATTCACTACTTTGCTACCGACAAGTTGGACAGGCTCAAAATTGCGACCTACGACGAGTCGTCAGGAGACCTTTTTTTGAAAATGTCCTTCTTCCAAGCGTGGAACGAGTTTATTCTTTCATAGCCAGAAAATTGCTTTGATAAGTCAGTCAATATCTGATCGTTAAAGAAAATGGTTAGTCGATAACCTCTGAATGCGTTCACACACACTGAGCTTTGTTACAACGCGGAACGTTACATAAATGGAACCGAAGTTTTTCAACAGTACTAGTCGACGGCAATTGGGTGCCTATGTGTAAGGGTAAAGCGTGAGATGCCTCATAGGTATCGATCAGAGATAACTGTATGAAATACATTCTCCTGAATCTACTAACAGATATCTTCTAGTAGTAGAGCCTCAGCCTGCAACGGTAAGCAAACGCTACGGTAGGCCGGCGACCCGCGTAGCAGATCGCGTTCTTTTCGAGTTACTTCTGAAGACGACAGCGTCCCGCCAGTTGGGTGCCGATTGTGTGGACAATATCGTAAGACAATGCTCGTTCTCTGTTTAAGTGGATCTGTTGAATCTTAGAACATTTTCCATAGGGTCATATCGGCATAGCCGGCAGCCGTCCTTTATCCCGCACACATTTATTGAGCATAGTAAGGTCTGGCTGGTGTTTAGCCTTCACTGGCATTGACAGCTAGTAGGACAGCCCCCCAAAATAACTAGTTATTCAGTGAGTCGGATGTTCATTTACTCTAGTGCCGTTACAGTTACTATCACAAATCAATGGAACATAGTCGAGACATGGCATTTAAACCTGGTTGTATCGTCGGGAAGTATGTGTAAGGAGCACGACCGCCGCAAGAGTTTCAGGACGGTGGCGGGATACCGCGCTGGAATCTCCGATTAGAAAATGGGTTTACGATATGAGATAGCAGTAATGATGAAAAAGAATAGGGAGCGATGCCGGCGGGCGATTTTGAAGCGACGTTCTGCCGCCTGTGGCCAGCCGTCTTTCTGGTCGACTAATCACTGTCTAGAAATATCAAGTGACACACACAGTTTGAAGCTTGTAGTCTAAACTGGGTCGTTGTTACTTGTATCACTTGATTGAAAAAAAGTTGTGGAGTACCGGGCACTATTTTAAGATCCGGAGGATAAATAATGATGCCCCGAAAAGGCTAAAAAAAAAAGGAATAACAAATACC